AGTCTTGGCTTCATCAGAAGAAAAAACAACAAAAATAAGACTGTAAGACAAGTGTGAACGCTCATGACCCAGAATATTTTTGCCATAAAAATGCAGACAGAGAACCCTACGTTAACATAGAATGCTAGAAGAATTCTCCCAAGCGTCCCTTCTGCATTTGAGGCATTCAAATAGCAGTGCTATTCCCAAAGCACACAAAAAAGAAGGATAACAAAAAAAAAAAAAAGGAAAAAAGGCAAGAACACACACCAAGGCAGCTCAAAATCATGTCTTCTTCAGTGTTAGAGTACAACTGGCGCATTATACACCTAACGTTATTCCTTAAGTATATTATTAAGAAATGATACATTTTGAATTAATGTGCAACTAGAAATATTATGATCACTACCTTAAATGTATAAGCCTCCTTGCAAATTACACATTATAAGCTGTTACAAAATAAATACATCACTTGATATTTAAATGTTGAAATGAAACCATATTAAATAGAAACAGCTTTTTTTTTTAAAAAAAAAAAGCATAGTTCGTTTTCCTTCTTTGCGAACAGTACCATTAAGAACACGATGAGTACTGAGGAGCAAAGTTTTCTGTAAGAAGGTGGTCAAATTTGCTTGTGGCCTCAAATACGCAGCCATTAATAATCATTATTTAAAGTTTACTAATCATAACATTAATAATCCTGGCAGAGTGCCCCACTGGATACAGCTTCCAATTTTGGCTTTATTTAGAAACTGACGCCTGCCAATTTTTGGAGGACTGAACACTTGGGTCAAGTTTTCCATGTCAAGCAGTCACCAACAAGACTCAAACAAAACATACCTTTTGGTATGCTTGTGAAAGTGTAACTTGTTACAAAAGTAAACATATCAAGAGCACTAGTAACAAAAAATTCCTTTGCTACACTACTCCTGGACTCTGTTTTGTGCAACTTTTAAACATTAAGTTTACACAAATATACAACAGAAACCTTCTAGGTGAAGGCGCTTAAGTTCGCGAGTTGAATAACCTTCCTCTAAAATGGCAGCCCTTTAAGACACTTATAGAAGTCAAGAATAACTGTCTCCTCGCAAATGCTAATCACAAAAGATACCGCAAGATAAAGTGTTTTAGAAATCGATTTATATTAAGGTGCTTTGTTCTTAGAATAAAATAGCTTTTCAAGACTTATGAAATTAACTCTCGCGACTGAGACACACTATGGCACCGCCTGCTCTCCATGGCCAACAGCCTGCCAAGGCTTTCTTTCCAGCTCTCCTCCCCACCTTGCCCCAGTCAAATCTCCACTCTTCTGCTTTCTTTCTCTCATTACTTTTTCCTGCTCTCTATCACAAGCCTTCAAAGCATCAGCTCAAGATCCAAAATTGGCTTGACAGAACCTACTAGCTAAACCTGCACTTCACTTCTGAATTTAGGATTTAGAAACGAGTCAACTACGGCAAAGATAGGTACCTCAAGCAAACAAATTTTGAAAGTGTACTTTAAAATACAGAATAGCTAATATATGAATGCACTTATATCACTGCTGCTTGCTAAGTGTCCAGGTTATTTTTAGAATCGCTTCACTTCCATGCGCTCATTTTTCCCCTATCGGGGATGCGTACTCCCTTTCGTTGAAAGGCCTACAAATTAACCAAGCACGATTTCTAGTCCTAGACTACGCATGTCAATCCCACTGAAAACACAACAAAATACACAGGTTTCCTCAGGCAGAATTAACGTTAAAACTAGCCTCTTCAAAATCCATCAGAAGCAGAAACAGCAGAAGGAACACATATGCATACTTCCCAAGCTTTCTTTAACAAGAAGAGTTATCTTTCAAATTTAATCCAGTAATAAAACAGGGTAGCTCATTAAAAATTGAGAGTAGATTGGAGATCTGACAAATCACATCTTATCCTCTGATCTTGCCCAATATAACAAGATTTCCATTGCACTACTTTGACGTTAGGGAAGTCAGAAGTTTTGCCAACCATACTTTCCATCCACCTCCTACCTTGCCAAACACAGCCAGCTTCCAGCTTAGGCATAGGACAGCACTACAGTATCGGCTCTAGATGTTGTAATGAGTATTTTATATGTAAATAATAAAAAACAAGGGAAAATATATGCCTCCTAGAAGCTTACCAAACTTTTTTCCTTCTTTGGTTGTGCCTGTCATCTTGATCTTGGCAACTTCAAAGAAGTCTTTTATTTCTCTTTCATATAGCCGTGATAAATAATCCATATAATTCTTAAATGAAAAATCAAAAGTTAGTTAACTGTTAGGTATACATACTACGTTCTATTACAATCAACTCATTTTTAACAACCAGCATGCAAATAAAATGTACAAAATATACTGTTTTGGACATGTATATACACACAAATACATATTGAAGTAGGTGATATCCATTTTGCTGGAGAGTTCGCAGACAAATAAATCAAAAGCTGCTATTTCCCCTCCATATGGAAATACATACATGGTGGTACATACAGTAGTTATTGGTGGTGGAACAAAACTTAATCCAAGGTAGAATGGACAGAATTCAGCACTATTCTCCCCAGTCTCTTTTAATAGACTACTACTACGCCAAAAAACCAAATAAGATACCATTCCTACACATCCTCTTGAGTATGTGGCTTCCCTAATTACATTCCCCACCAGGGAAATGGAAGACCAGAAAAATCTGAAGGGCACAAACTCCGATTGCCTACTACAAGACTCAGTAAACTGCAAATTCATTTTTGTTTGAAACATTGCTGAAAATAATTTCAAAAGACAAGAGGTACAACATCTGGAAATAACTTTGAAGATTATCCATTTTTAGATTTTACCACAAAGGGTTAATTTTTTTTAACTTATGGACAAAGACTACCCCAATAATCTGTCGTCTCCATAATCTGTCGTCTCCATTTTCTTTAGAATTCTGTTACTTAACACATACAATCTATAAAGCTGTCAATTTGATTTATTTTTTTTTTTTTTTAAAGAAAAAGATGTTAGCTTTTAACCGAATGTTTGACTTGCACTGAAAGCAAAAGAACAACTACCTCAAAGCCATTTTAGGAGTCTAACTTAAAACTTCCATTTCATTTGGGAATACCAAAAGCTTCAGAGGTCTGTTGAACTAAAAATATCATGCAGGCAAATAAATACACCGATATGAAAATAGCTCAATTATTCTTCTTACTGGATGGTAAAATGGCAAACCGCTTTACATAAATATTGAGATTAACACTGTAGGATGCTTCAGAACAGAGATACATAGAACCTGGAATAAAACATGGAACGCATCAAATACCAAAGCAAAGTTTCCTATCCCAAAGAGGAACAGGAAACGAAAGACAGTGAATTACTTTTAACGCAAAGGAGTATTCAAGAAAAATGCCCCCATATACAGGCAACTCTTGACTTTTGTAAAAATAATAAATTATGTAAATTCTCTAGAAGCATCTGAGCATTTCACATACCTTCGTCAGACCTTCATATTTTCCGTAGTCTGTGTTCTTAAGCCACTCCATCAGTTTAGCGTAACGAAGTAAATCTCTGTGAAATGGATGATGATTGGGTAATGTCAATTCAACAGAGTGCTGGGCAAGTGTGGAACTCTGATCGTGACCCTTAACAAAAGAAAGTATTCAAATAAATCTGGGAGCGCTATACAGATACACTAGAGATTTTCTGAATAACAAACAACGACAGCAGCCCACTGAGACAAACAGAAAAGCATCAAAAGCATCTTGCGTAAAATCAAAAAATTACCTCAATTTCGGATCCCCACTGTAACATGTAACTTTTCAGCTGGGGTCTCTAAATATTATCCTAATACAGTCACTAAGATACTATCGTTGTAGCAGCTAATGCACCTTAGTAGGCTTGCTCATTGTAAGGCCCCAATCGCTTCTAACTTTGCCTTCAAGAAAATTCAATTTGGCATTTTTTGCAGGAGAGCGCAAGACTGAAGGTCTAATAAGAAGAACGTGACTGTTTCGGAACAATGTAAAGGATTATTACATTATTTTTCTTAGCTAATAAAAAAAATTGCTTTTTTTAAAGCTGCTTCTTTTCCCCTTTGAAAACACCAGTTCACACATGCTCAGTAAACATTTACTGGAGTTAAGCAGTTTAGGACATGCAGCATAAACCAGTCCTTTAGAAGCAAGTTACTAGCTTTACGTGCCTCCTTCCTTTTCTCTGGGGGATCTTCTGAAAAAAAAACAGTAATCCTCTAAGCAAAGATTGCACTTCACAGCAAGTTACGATCTGTCTTTTTAAGCTTTCAGCTGCTCTTATTAGCGACATACGTAAACGAGACACCAATGGACTAGTATAAGCCCATATTAAAGACAAAAAATTCCTAGAGGGCTTCATTCATTTATTCTCACAGACAATCACGAAGGTTCACACTTACTGTTAAGTTAATTTCTCTTCTAAAACAAATTGAAATCTTGTAGTTTGACTACAAAAAAAAGCTAACTTTGTAAAGTGTAATTATTGCAACATGTAATTTGGAATTAGAATCCAGCAGTAGTCATACGGCTGCTGAATATATAGCACATGTAATTGCTGAGGTCATACTCCATACTGTAGGTACTTGGCATGCATCTATTCATAACAAATAGATTAGAAGTAGACACCTGGCACACAAGAGAAAATAGCACAGAGATACAACGTAGTAAATTAACAGTGAGGGTTATCATCATTTGTTACAAGTGAGTTAATATATGTGTTCAGAGTATAAGAGAGTCTCTTCAACATGTCTTCAACAGTTTTTGTTGAAACTAGATATAGAAAACTATTTGTGGTCATCTCTTCTAACCCCTAGCATGCAACACTTATTCCTAAGTACGCACTTTCATGTTTCAGTTCATTTTAGTTTAAAAAAAATTTACCTGATGGCTTCCACAATTTCCTTTGTTAAATCAGTCCAAAGGCTAACTAATGTTACTGCTAGGAAATACTCCACTATCCAGCCAGCTTTTTTGCTTCTTTCATCTGACTTTACATGCATGTTCTTTTACTAAAATAGATTTTTGCTTAGCATTCACATTCTTCATAAAGCTACATATGACAAGTCCCTTCCCAGTCTATGCCTCTTCCCAAGCCAACTTCTCCATTATTACCTTTCTGTTTACAAATATTACTGCAATTACATGTAACTGTTATATCTGTACAGTTGTAGAAATATTATAGTTTCCTGAAAATACGTTTTCTCCATACACTTCAGTACTTCATTGTCTCTTAGCAACTCCAGAGATCAGACGAACGTTATCTAACACACAGATAAACAAAGCTTGAGAGCAGATGCAAATACCAGAAGGGAAAAGAGGCAAAAATCTGATGTTCCACAAACAGTAAGGATATATTTCTTATTTGTAAAGTCAGAGATGCAGCTGCTAGTTAGATAAGGCAAGCTTAAAAAAAAAAAGTTAGTTACAAAAGCTTGTGTCAAACCTCATGTACTCACTGGAACTGAGAGAGAGTAGGACCTGTTATAGAGCTGAAGTAGGGTCTGAGTAAACTAATTGGAGATTTGAAAAAAAAAAAAAAAAAAAAGATGCTTAAAGACATCCATCCTCAGGAAGCAAATCTCAGGACAGTGATTTCTGAATATTTCAAATATAGGTTCAAAAACAAGGCTTAGCAATTTTACTTTGCAAGACTCTTTTTTTTATGGCTGTTGAGGTCCAGACAGCAAGAACTCTGGCATTACCAGGCTCCTAAATCCTTAAAATTTACCATTTTTTCCTCAACTAATTAAGCCTTAGGCTAAAATAAATCCTTATATATTTCAGAGGTGTGCTTAATGCAGATATCAAACATACTACAGATTTTTTTTTTTCCCCCCTGTGGTAAACATCAGATTATTTCTGAGGTCTTTATAGTTTGATATGTTTAGTAATCTCTCCGCCCAAAATGCCTCTAGCAGTCCATTCACTTTCTGATCGCACCAGAGAACATGTCCAGTTTCTGTTGGATGGTTCCTCTTTCCAAAAAAAAGTCTGTGACTGAAAATTTCAGATAAATAATTAAGTTAATACCTGCTAAACAAACACGCTGTTCAAATGACTGGCAAGCCTCCGTGCAAATTGTTCACGCAAGTCACTAAATCGCTGTTGTTGCTCTTTGACTGCATGAAGCATATCATGTCCTAAAAGCAAACAAAAAGAACCCCACAGAGTACAAAATATATAGTTATATAGCATATGTGGGAACAGATGGGACCACAGGTAACAACTCCCTCAGTGAACAGAAACAACATCTAAGAGCAGTTGGAAAGGAACTTACAATAAAGGCACTCCCATAATAAACGGTGTGTGTCAGACTGTAGTCTAACAAAACCATTACCTGGACGAAGAGCTACATTCATACACTGCAGAAGGGCATCTGCGGCATTAGTGCAGGCCTCAATGCCTCGAGATGATGTCAGATCTCCCTCCTGAAGGGCCTTTATATGACCTTTAGCCAAGTCCATATGATTCTACAAAATAATAAATAGTACTATTTATAAGCCACAAGTAGGTTAGAGTTTAGCTTTATGCTATTCTGCTAAATAAAGAATGATAAACATAATCCTATCATTATAAAAACTTAAGCAGTTAGTGCAAAAACAGAACAACAAACTGATTTTAAACAGACTTCACACGTGGTTGCTTCATACGAAGGTGACAACATAAAGGACTTTATACTTAAATCTGAACAGCCCTGCTAAGCACAACAAACATGCTTACCACTAAGAACTCTATCTCTGACAGTAGTTTTACGTTGTTGGTGTTACTGAGATGGATTAGGTGGTTGCTTTCTGAAATTTGATCCATTTGTTCTTTTACACTCTGAAGCATTTCTTCGTAACTGCTCAACTTCATCTCAATCTGATCAACTTCCTTCAGAGCTTCATCCAGCAACTTCATCAAAATATTCACCTGTTTCTCAGAGGCCATGATTGACTGGATATTTGCCTACACAGAAAATTAAGCCATAAGATTCTAACAGACGTTTTTGTATCTCAAAAGCATTCTGATAGCAATGGAGACAGAAGGGGATATCAAACACACACTTTTCAAACTCTTGTTTGAAAGAGACTGAACAATTTAAGCCTTTAATACTTTCTCATCTAAAGTGCTACGGAACGTAACCCCTCAGTCCATGACACTTAATTATTTCATATGGAAATGATAAGAAAACAAACCTGTTCTCAAGTTCTCAGGATTCAAGTATTTGTCTGCATAAAAATAGATATTGAACATAAGAATCCCTATTACACTGGAACGTTTTATAGCTCCAGAAAACAGCTTAAGTGGTAAGATCGTCTGTTTCATTGCAAGACCAACTAACTATGTTAACAGCCATTTTCCAATAGAAGATGAACACAAAACTTGGCAACCGGAGGAGTTTGAGCGTTCCCTCAAGACTGTGAAAAATCTGCGGCATCTTCTTACTTCTCTAAGCAACAAAACACTGGAAGGTTCAGTTGTTTAAAGAGCAAAATAACAAATAACATAGCTGAATTCTGCAATTTTATGAGATTATAAGAGTTTCCTAATTATCCTCTAAAATAGAGTAATGTTTCACATTAGACATGAACACCAATGCCTATTCTCTCTCTCCCCACATCCCCTCCTTCAAAAAAGAGAAGGGGAAAAAAAAGGAGAGAGGTACACACAGATTGCCTTCCTTTTCTATTCTCTATGTCTCATTTGAAGAGGTAAGGCTCATCCCAGAAGATCTGGAAGGTGAACAGTGAATTCCAAGATCTTTAAAATCTGATAGGAAGTAGTATGAAATTCTGCTTAGGAGTAGCAAAACAAATACTTAAATATGTACGTTTTTAATAAATACGCAGCAGGATATTACCTACTATTTCAAAGGACCCTACACAGTCAGTATCAATGAAAACAGTTTTACATGCCAACACACCGTACATTAGAAGAAATTTTTACCCCATCTAGCACTTGTAGCTCTCTAGACAGCTTTTCTGCAAAGGCCTCAGCATTAGAGATGGCATATTCACACCCTTCCATCATTATTTCAATATCCTGTTCCTCTCTTGCATTTAATTCCTGGTATTCATCCACAGCCTCTTCATCACCTCCTGCTACACTTTGATTCTCTCCACTTGGAACTGATTCTTACGTAGAGAAGAGAAATAAAATACATGTTATCCAAAGCAGAAGGCCGCAAGCACTTTAAGAGCACTGAAGTACGTTCAACTATCTTTAAGTAGATGGATCCATTAAATCACTTTCACAACAAGCACCTGTTACCTAGATAAACTTTGCTTTCAAGTCATATCTCAGTCTTCTACGGATTTCAATAAGATTTCCAGAACTGGTTCACGACAGTGACGTCCTCCCAAATATGTAACATACGCAAAATACAAATAGCCACCTTCCTGTACTGAATATATAAAGGGACATATTGCCTCAGTTCATTCACCTCTCATGCTGGTAATGAACATCTGCATATTTTGCAGCACTATTCTGGAATTATTAGTGGAAATTTCATAGAAATTAGAGGCACTCTTTTGGTACATAGCATAAAAAGGGAAAGATACTAAGGTTAATTAAGAAATATATCATAAAATAAGTAAAAATTGTCTTGATGCTCAAGGTAAGTTTCCATCACAGGAAAAACAGTACTGAAGGAAATGAAAATTATATAACTAAATTTTTAATGAACTATGACTTCTCACTGCAGCGTTTAATTAAAAAAAAGCCATTCATAGGCTAACAAAGTTTACAGGACATTAACGTAGTCCTGGTGGAAAGTGTTTAGGACTTCTGAAACTTAACTGCCATCTCTAGCAATTTAGTAAGCTATTCAAAGCACTATTTAAAAAAAAAAAAAAAGCTAATTATGAAAAATTGCCCACAAAGAAGAATAAAGGAAAAAGGTGTTACGCACCTTCTGCAACTTTAGGTAGTTCTGGAGAATTAAAAGGTATGGAAAAGCAGAAGAAAGGAAGCAGAGAATGTTAGCTAGGCAAAGCATGTACAGTGTGTGTATTTTTAAGCGGCAATAAGTTGAATCTATTAATTTTGCAAGGACTTGAAAAGTTACTGGTTGGTGAGAAACAACTTTTGGTCAACACTGAAAGACGCAGATGCTCTCCTCCCTGTTTTATGCTTCTAAATACCCAAGTTGTTCTGCACAAATCAGTCTACGGTTTAATATCAATCAACATTTTGGCCACTTCTGATAGAAGCAGTATATGAAGTGTCTGCTCGCTAGTCTTCACTAAAAAATTTAACTACTAAAAGATATTGTGAATGTAAAAAAAATCATATTTAACACGAGTGTACAAAATACAAAGTCCTCTTAACATCCAAGCAGTCACTTAAGCTGCACTTTCAGCAGAATTTAACAGATGTTTCACAGTTCATAAACCAGAAACCAAATTTAAGCCTTACATAAACTTTAGCATGCTACACAAATGTCACTTTTTAAAGAATTTTTCTAGCTCAGGGCAAGTGAGAACAAAAAGATTTGTTACACGTTTAGGCCTACTAAACCGTACAGGTAGGTTTAGTTTTGTCAAAGAAACAGAATATCCTAAAAATGCAATACACTTACTGATATTTAGAGTTTCATTCACGTATTATTTTGTTCCAGTTTTGCAATATAAAATATGCTTTCCAGGCGTCTTGTTTATACGAAGACTTTTTAAAAAAATATAAAAAGAGGAGTAAAATTTTAAAAAAATCAAGATTAGGATTTGTTTACTCAGTATACCTGTTTTACATTGATAACAATCGAACTTTACACTTAACATACAGTTGTAGAAATTTACCTTCCAAAAGCTGTGAACTAACATTAATAAAGTCAATTTTCTTTCTAAGATATCTCTGATTGAGCTTCCAGATACATGAAATGAAAGTGTTCTTTTCCACTGTGCTGCTTGCCACCCATTTGTACACTTTGTCAAAATGTAAATCAAATTCAGGATTTTCCTGCAAAAGATGAGATAATTTACAGGCTCATCAGTCACAAATGATTCTCTGACCAGCAGAGACTGTTTACTCATTTAATTATTGAAATGACAGGATAAAATGAAATTACACAGACGCCAACCTTAAACTGATATGCTAGCAGCGGTATGCATATTCACCTTAACGAAGAAGCTACACCATTACAAGAGCTAGTAAAAACCATGAAGAAAACGTCTTCTCAAGCTAGGTAAGGTGACAGTAACATATAACACAGAAACCTGTGACGGTTTAAAGAACATATTACAATGCTGTCTCATCTAAAATTTTGTCCTCAGAATGACTAATGCTGTGCGTTAGCCTTCTGTCACCAAACCACGGCTGGAATTACTGACAACATATACAACACAGCTCAAGGAAACTTAGGGGAACTGTAAAGGAAAAACAATTACGAGGACTTTATATATTTTACAGATGCGACAGCATCTGATATCAGAGGACAAGATAAAAAAGGTCACTTGTTTCCTGCCAGGGTTTTTACCTAGGGTTCTAGGTAAAAAGCTACTACAGAAATATTTTGAAACAAGAGTATCCCCTGAAGAGGGGGATTGCTTTGATAACATTTGATTAAAACATTTAATTTCCTTTCTATAACCATTTATGCACCCACTACTGACAGCAACTGATCACAGGCTGTTTTAAAGATCACAGTCCAAGCATTTTACAAGGTTCAGCCTCCTTCTGATGAAAAAGTTATTGCTTCAGACGTGCATTAACTTCTTATTTCTACATAGTCTGTAAAAATGAAAGCTAGTTTTGCTGTTACACATTACTTATATTGTTACTAATGTTTGTAGGAGAAGCAGCTGGCACACGAAACTGAACATGACAGGAAGTGAAAATTCCTGTATGGTACAATAAAAGCAATTGTTTCTCCTGTAGCTCATACTGAGAAATGTAATTACTATACATCTTTCTGCTCCCTCCCCTCCTCCCAAAAAGTGATTACATAAAATTTGAGTTGTCATCTGACAACTAGTGAGGGAAGGACCCATGTCAAAAAAGTCGCATAGGATTACGTGTTAAGAAACCAAAACGTGACGCAGTTAACTTTAATTTTGACATTTTTTAAATGTCTGAGAGTTGGGTATTCAAAAATTTTTTGCAAGAAAGTTTACAAAATCCTTCATTAAACAGCACATGCATAAGTGCACGTTTCCAGAACCCCATTTAACCAAATTCTGTTCTGCAGGAAAAATTCTGAAGGACAGGTTGACTGCAAGAGGTGTTGACTACAGGAGGTGTTTATCCTGACTACAGGAGGTGTTTATCCAAAAAGATATTAAGGAACAGCATGGAAAATCTAAAAGCTATCTAACAAGTATACGAATATCTAAAGTAACAAAGCATATTTACCCTACAATTGATAAAAGCTCAGGAGTTTTCAGTTTTGAGGTAAGTAGTTTTCTGGACACCACAAGATGAAAAATTTTCATCTCTGCCTGTTCATGAATCTTAGTTTATGAATAAGAGATGAATTTATAAGGGCAGAATTAGATTATGCTTCTTATTCTGTGGAAAAGAACAGCAGCTCAGGGTTGTATGCTTTCCAACAAACGGTTAATGTCATGATTTAGAGGACAACTATAAGAGTTTAATCTGACTCTCATATGAAAGAGCTGACCTACACTTTTATATATTGCTCATAAAGAATGTTTTGAGTGTCCTGTCAAAAAGAGTACATGTGGCCCAATAAGATGGCCATGACTCATTTCAAGGGAAACTAAACTTTTGAATCAAAATTTACACAGGACTTGAACCAGAAAAAAAGTACTGGTTCTTAGCACAAGTACTATACAGAACCTAAGAGACGCTCACAGTAAACTGGGAAGATATTCAGAATATTTCAATTCAAGCATACCTGCACTACTCAGACTCAGTTTACTAGGGTTATATTCTTGGGAAGGCTGGAAGAAAATACAATAAACATGTATCATCTTAAACCCAAATTAACACATTATCAGTCAAAGCTGTATGACAATGAATAGCCAAGTTAGCTCTGACTTGGAAGTAAAAGTGTCCCAAGTAGAGTTCGCACTAAAAGAAGTTACACATACTTTAACAGCATCTTTGGCATCAACCACAGCAAGATCTCGAAGCGCCCACGCAGTCTGTCTTTTGTAGAAATCTCCCTTGTCAGACTTTTTCACTTTTACCACGTTTACTTGCACTGGACGTTCCGTTGTCACTGTTAAATGAAGTATAAGAGCAATTTTGAAACACTCAAACTACATTAACATCTGTTTCTGCTATACTTAAGCTTATTTTATATCTGATGAGAACAGAGCCCTCGAAACAAGTTTCATCCTCAATACCCACAGCTCAGTTTAAATTTCAGTCATCCAGATGTGCAGCTCTGCACAGCTTCTCAAGTCCTGAAGCCAATTTATGCCTATTTCTTTGGTGCAGCAGAACTATGGCCGCACTGCCACATCACTGAGGGAACAAAGAAGTCAATGGAGATTCTAGCCTGATTAAAAATGCTTTCTGAGATTTGTCATAAAAAAAAAAAAATCCAGTCAGCTAATTTACTGATAAGTTGGACAAAAGCACCTTCTTGGAAGAGGTGTAATATAAAGGACGTGCTCTCAAAGGAACATTAGGACTCAGTTAAAATCCTGTGCCTTTCCAGATCCCTCTGTCTTGGACTCTAACCAGCACTCCTTGCTGCATCATGTTTAGGCTGATCAGTCTAGAGATCTACTAAATCTCCTTTTAAGCACCATACAAGGCCTGCTTCACAAGCCCACCCAGTCCAACACAAATAATTTTGATTCCTTCCTTGCAAGTTACAATAAGATCTGAGAGTAAAAGCAAAGGGTTTTGTTTCTGTTTTAATAGAAGCAATAACAGATATAAGCTACAACTAATTTTTCCATTAAAAATGGAAGCATCTGTTTTATAAGGAGCGAGAATAAATATTGTACATAAAGCTAAGAAAAAAGCAAGTGAATAAAAAGGGTGAAAACAAAAATATCATGTGGTATTACGACATACCCGTGGCACATAAAAAGCAGTTTCTCTTCTTTTTGCCTGCTTTGCATACATTCACAATGCTCAACAGGCGTTCATCATTGGGAGTGAAAATATCCCTTTGTAAAGCATGCTTGATTGCAGTCATTTTCTCCCAGCTGAAAAATTTCAAAAATTCATACTACATTCAAGTAGACTGAGGAGGCTACTAAAACATACAATAAGAACATACGTTTAGGTATAGCAACTACAGTTTTAAAAAAATACATTTTACAGGTAATTTAATGAATCATAATCTAGACATGCATAATATAGATAGAAGTCCAACTATTTTTGGAATAAGTCCAAGATAAATTTTAACAATTAGTAACCCAAGTGCTTTGGGGGAAAAGGGCCAATATACCAAGCTGAAATCAGTACTGCTAAGCACTCAAGAGTTCAGGATATTCAAGAAAAATGCTGTTTATATGACATCTCTACGGCACTGTAATATTCCACCGTTAACGGCTTTCTAACACCTTTCCTCTCCTTTCAAATGCTTGGTCCAGCTTCTTCCAAAATTGCTTCAGGTTGTCATTTCAGTTATTCTTCAACAGATGTGTAAGATGAACACACAAGGTACCAACAGCCTGCTAATTTTGGAAATATCACCTTTCTCTTCTGGTCAGGACTTCACCTATTGCTCTAAACCACATTCAGACTGACTGCTGCTACTCACTGATCCTCACATTTTTGCTAAAGCAAAGTTTCTCAGCTGTGCAGAATACACCTTTCCTATAAAAGAGGAGACATCAATCCCAAGATCAGATACTTGACATATAGTCCAACTTCTGTTACTAGTTCAACACTGAGTCACAGCCCCAAAACCTTCACTGTGAGTCAGGACCAAGTACATTACTGCAGTCTTCATCCATGACTTACAACCCTTGCCATCCCAGAGCACAGAAGTAGATACAAGAAGCTGGAGACAAAGCTACTTCCTCAGAAAAACGCTTTGAGAGAGCTGAGCCCAATTCAGGCTCCAATAAGTCCCTTGTGGGATTGCTGGAATAATCTTTTCAATACGGTAATGCTAAAGCCTCTTCTGCGTGAAATCTATCAAAGACATCATCTCACAGACAGGAAATATATAGGAGAGATTCAACAGAGCAACTCAGCCAGGCTACTTAATGTGCACTGCTTGGCCTCTCTACGTGTGCAACCAGGAAACTCTTAACACTCGTATATCGTATCAGGTAATAACCTAATGTAAGAGCGCGGCCTAACTGTAAAATTCCGGGGAAGCTCGTTCACAGCCAACGGTCAAACAAAAGACCACTCGTGTAAGAGGAACGCTCAGGAGGGTCACTTATCGCAGCCGCGGCTGGAAACCGCCCGTCCGACACC